CATCAGGCACCAGTACTGATGTCGATACCGGCTTTTCCACCGGTGCCGACTTCACCATCGGTGCCATGTACATTCTCAGTGCGACATAGAGGACCTTCTCGGTGCTGCTGCTGGTACCAATTCTGCTCTAGGTGCCGACGGGGCTATCTGCACTGGTTTCCCTGAAAGGGCAGAACTGGCACTGATGTGCTGCGGGCAGCTTTATGCCTATCAATGTGATAGGAGAGGCCTCGAGTGCCTGGATTTTCCCCCATACTGGTTGTGATAGGAGAGGCCTTGAGTGCCTGGATTTTCCCCCATACTGGTCCGCCTGGCTGGAGAATGGCGGGGTGAGGAAGATCTTCTTTTAGGCACGCTCAGAGTGGCCCAATGCTTGTCTATTGCCAGAGCGTCCGGGGGCCATGAGGCGTCAGGCTCGGCAGGTTATAAGGCCTTATTAAACAGAAGCATTTTGAGCCGCATTTCACAGTCTCATTTGGCTTGCGCTGTGAGTTTGGCACAGCGGTGGCATTTTTGAAGGATATGACCCTTGCTTAAATACTTGATACATCGTGAATGCCTGTCCGAAGCGGGCATCGCGTCTTGGCATGTAGCACATTTCTTGAAGCCGGGCATATTGTCGTTTTGAGGTGCGACTACGCAGAACTTAAGTATGAGGAGAATTTTAACAATTTTTTTTTTTTAAGAACTATAACTAGTGTAACCATGACTACTGAACTATAATAACTAAAACAACTAACACTAAAAACTTTTCTGTCAGAATACAGGAGAGGAGTTGATCTGCATCTGCAGCCATAGATGGTTAGGAGGAACTGGCGGGAGCCGGACCGTGCGTGCTCAGAGTCAGCGTGAATAGCACGCGACGCCTGCTTCGCATGTGCGGTCTAGCTGGACTACTGCTGACGACTCTCCAATCTGCAGCGCGGGACAAGCCCGACACCTAGAGTGGAGCACCTATGGGGACACCACTCGAAGAAGAACTAACTCTTACAAAAGAGAGCCCACCAACAGTGAGTGAGGCAACTCAAGCAGTCAATCATCCTGTCCTCTAACGACTTTCCCATCCTATTCCCCTTTGCAAAGGCCTAGGGAAAATAGATGAGCTTTAGATGCTGGGCCTGGGGGAGAGGATATGAATGCCAAAGCCCTGGAACCCTCCCAGAATACATCCCCTTAAGCACCTCCCTTCCACCAGCAACGTTACTGTGTGAGCACCCATATGGGTCTTGGCACAGGCATTAGAATGCTCTGTGATTCTGGAGCTCCCACAGTGGGCTGTTCTGGTCCAGTCCCTCCTATCCAGTGAGCTTGAGCCCAAGCGGTAGCATTAGTAGACCAAGTTAGCAGACCCAATCAAGGAAGGGGGGGGGAGGAGAGTTGGTTTGTTTTTAAACAAGTGAGGATTCTTCAGCTGAGGTGATTAACGTCAGTGTAAATGGTCCAGATATTTTAAATAAAAAAAGTGCATCATATCCATTGTCAAAGTGCTACCCTGCAACGTATCACAACCTGCTACTAGGACGATGTGTCAAGCTGAACTCGTTTAGCCACTACATCAGGCTCCCGATCTGAGCAACATTTTCTGCAGCTGGAAGGGAACTAAATTACAGTGCTGGAACTGTAGGACAGATCCCACTAAT